GGAACGCGTAAGATGATTTTACCTCCCTCAGCAACCCCTGGCCTGACAACACCACCTGGTGGCTGGCCGCGGACCCACCCAACCCCAAGACCTGGACTTCAACAACCTCTGAAGAACTACCATCTGTCCATAACCAATCCTGTATATTCCACTTCCTCCCATCTTGTATCCTTTTCCTGTAAAGGGCATGCTGTATAATAAATGGTCATTGGGAATAGACTGTACTTACCCGCGAGAGAATTTAAACCTAGTCGTTCATTCTGTAGCGCTAAAATCGTTCATTCATTTACATCATCATAACAAATTCATTTGTTTTCCAGAACTCCTCGCGGACCGCACAAAAGCCCTTGGAGGGCCGCATGCGGCCCGCGGGCCGCACTTTGGGCACCCCTGTCTTAGGGAATATCTCAAAGACAGTATCTATCAGGGGAGAGACCAAGCACAATCCCCGAGCTGAAGGAAGCCGTCTCAGTCAAAATCTGATTAATCCCTCTGACTGAACTTGAGCGATTCATGAATAACGTTGTGAGACGCTTCCAAGTATGCATCCAGACGAGCATTTAGAGTATATCTTGGATCATGCATAATGCGTAATGTTATACGTTACGTTTATGAAATATCATTCATAGTTTTGACTTATATCGATTCATGTAATTCTATAGTATCATTGATTTTTGAATAAAGTTGAAGTTTTAACAACACTTTTTGTGGGTCAACTTTTTTTTTTACCAGCCTGTAGAACAGGCAACGGAGAAAATCCTTTCTCTTCTAATCTTTCAACACCGTGGGATTACATCGGCCATTGGCTTTTCACTCTTGCGATGGATTGGCTCGAACGCGGGTTACACCTGCTGCTAATTAACTTGAAATTTAGATGAAGCAAGTGGAATGGCTACATTTATAAGCTGGATATTCTGGTTTTAGCTCAGCACCTAGCGGGATTTATGTGCTTGTTAGCTTCCACGTGATCAATTCGGTCGCCAAAACACACTGGCATCGATCGAGTTCTGGCAGTTTCCACATCATTTGCTACCTTCTCGAATCCGTCTTGGTTCTGCAATGAGCCATTCTATACCTTCGCAAGATGTGGACTCCTCTGCATCGACATGGTCCATGCATTCGGCCATGGGAACTCCTTCCCTTTGACATCGCATCCGCACGAGGTAGGACGAATATCCTTGTACAAAGTCATCCTCAAGCGTCCCCAACTTCTTTCTTTCTCTCATTCACTTCAATTTGGAGAATCACACCAGTGATGCTAATTCCCTAACGAAGCATTTTACTTCGGTGCCCTGACATTCCTCAAAGTTCACTTCGCTCGAAATTTGTTCAAAGAATTTGGTTCCTGCTCGTTCTGATGGGCAAGTTTGTCAAGTTTGTGAAGCTTCTTGAAGGTCTCATTCTGATCTGTGGTGGTCAGTTAAACTAGCTGGGATCGCAAATGCGGATAGCATTACAGTTTATGGAATGAAAAACAGATGTCACTCTCATCTCACAGCCCTCAGCGCCACCGCTTACTTACGGTGAATTCATTCGATAAGTACTGCAATGCTGTCAGCAGTTACCTACAGATCTATGGATGTGTGTAAGGAATGATCACCAGTAAGCATAATTTCAGTCTCCAAAATGTAACACAAGCAGACAACAAAAAAAGATATTGGTGAGTGAGTCTTTGGGAGTCCATGTGTCATGTAAAAAATACAAAAATACATTTGCCCCTTAGTAGGCATCTATGAAATACTAGTATAATACAGTCGACTCTGCATAATGGAATACTCCGCTTATTGGAATACCATTGCACGGTCCCGATTTACGGTATAATACAGCAGATAGTTTCGGTTATTGAACCATTTCGGATTACAGAATAAGATTCGCTGGTCCCTGGAGTACTCCAATATGCGGAGTCGATGGTATATTGGGAACTGTCATATGGAAAATGACAAGAGGCGAGAGGTACAGTAGGAATGAATAATGGAAACAAATGGATATAATGAAAAACTTCCCAGGAGATGCACAACATGTCCGCAATGGGCACAGATAAGCTCAATTGCATGATGCACCATTCAAATGTGTCTGCAGTTTCATGGTCCTGTCACAAAGTTTCTATTGAAAGATCCCAGAGCTCAAGCTAGTAGTAGTAGTAGATAGTGGTAGTAGTTGTGAACAGCAGCACAGAATCTCTGCTAATAGGAGACTGGGATACAGTTGGGCAATTTATATAAATTTTCAAAAAAATGTAACTAGCACATACAATTTTGGAAATCCAAGTCATCCTTTAATTAGGAAACATTCCTGGCTATAAAATATATCAAGGTTCTCTTCATTCAAAGAAACAGTTTTTTTTTGCCAAATGGAGAAATTTCAAAGTGTCAAAAGTCAAAGTGTCTCACTGTACCCAAGTCTGCCCCACTGTGTCCATTGGCTCATACATGGTACTCTGACAGAAACATAATCAAGTGATTGGGTAATGTCTTTCTACAAATTAATATTCAGGATATGCAATAAAAAAAGAGCATTATCAGCAAAAAGAATCAATTTATTAGGATTCAATATCATGATGTTCCATTCCTGTCACTGGGAAAAGGCCATTCTCTGTTGAAATAAAGAACCCAAATCCAGTGGTGGATAGCACTCATTAATGTATGTGTGTAATCGATCATAGTCATAGCCCCACTCCGTGATATAATAAAATTTGATTCATACCTTGAAAAATACATAGGATGACAGGGTAGTGGGGGAGATTTTCCCTGAACAAAGACAAGGGGCACAGTGCATATAAAATCAATCACTTTTTGTTGGTTAGGGCATTGGCTAACCATTCCATGGCAGTGTCAAGCCCTTCCCCCTTTGTAGCACTTGTTTTGAAAATCTGGAATGTTCTGGCACGCAAGGCATCCAATCCGAGCGCCTGATGGACCTCTGCAACGCTCATTGCACCTGAGAGGTCTTGCTTGTTGGCCAACACAACCAACACAGCTCCTCTCAACTCTTCCTCCTGGAAGGAAAGGAGTAGTGATTTAAGCCAAAAGTTTTACTAATCCAGCACCCAAAAAAATGGAGACCATCAAAGGAACCAGATATTGTGCATTTTTATCCTGACAACTGGAAAGATGTGATGATACACATGGAAAAGCAGAAAAAGCAAGGAATAAGAAAGGGTTTCACACTTTCATTCCCCCAGGCTTCTCTTGCCTGCTCCCAGCTTTCCTGATCTCCCTGTTACTTCCCAGGGGCTCCCACAGGCCTTTGCTAGTGCACTTACACTTACAGGAGAGGCAGGAAAGAGGATAATGTAAAGACTAGGAGTGAGAGGCACGTGTATAAGTGTGCCATCAAAGGTCTGTGGGAGCCCCTGGGAAGTAACAGGGAGATGGGGAAAGCTGAGAGCAGGGGAGAGAAGCCTGGGGAAACAAAGGTGTGAAACCCTCTCCTATTCCTTGCTTTTTCTGCTCTTCCATCCTGTGTTGCCTATGAATTGATAATGAATCTTTAAATCTCCACATAACAAAGTGTCACTGTACACCTCCAATCATTTAGGTTACATTTTTGCATCCTTCCGGCATGGGTTAGCTAAATGGCAACTGCCCTCAGTGCACTTCTTTGCTTACATTTATTCACCTGATTACATTGTAATTATTTTCTTTCTGATTGGAATGTGTCATATTGAAATAGTGTATGTATGGACGGTAACTGCTATGTCATTGAGTCACTTCCTGAGATTTACCTAAGTGTTGGACATGACACAAGCCAAATCATGACCAACATTAGGACATGATTCAAGGAAGAACTAAAGTCCAATTAATAGACTGATTAATCTATTAAACATGCTAGCAAATAATCTATTTAAAAATTTAATTGATTGACAGTCCTAATTTATTATTTAAATCACACTTTTTTCCATTTCTTCTGCATTTTCCAGTAGCTGTAGGTGGGACATGGTAGACAATATATATGTACAGGATACAGTGTGAAATATAAAAAAAATTAACCAGTCCCACCATCTTCCATGCATACTGCTCTGGTCCCAAGTCCTCCCATTCATGCTGTTTAAAGACTTAAAAGACTCAGTTCTACCCATTTCCTAGTCCTGATCCCACCTAATCCCATAAATTGAATACTAATAATAATTATAGTAATTGGAGGAGAAGGAATAATGTCAATGAAATATAAAATTTGAAGTCTGCATGTTGGTGAGAGATTTAATGTTTCCACAAGTTTTCATAAGAACACATGGTGCTCTTTCCAACTGTCTGAAGCACTGCTAAACCAGCATTGTACAGTTTCATAAAAGTATTTGAGAGATGTGCCATAAATAAAAGAAATTAAAAATGCATCATAACAAGAGCAAACCAGATTGTGAGGTGAGGATGCAGAAGAGTATAAAGTAGACCTCAGCATAAGTATGACCACAGAGAGATTCTTCATCTCTTTAACCCTCTTCCTAGCTGAGAACTATTCCAACCCTATCCTGATGGGCCATTTATATGAAATTTCAGGAATGCATGGAATCAAATTTCATTATATACCAACAAGAATTACTGAACCTGTTGATGAGAGTAAAGGAATCATAGGCAGGTAAATTACATAATTCTCCATTTTGCTCTCACTCAATTTCTGATTTTTGGGATTTCTATATTCAAAGTCTAGAATTCCAAGTTGTTCAATAAAGAATCTTGCTTATGAAAGATTCTATATTTGCAGGAATAAGAATTCTCTGTCCAAAACAGCTTAACAAATATATTGTATCTAGCCATGCCCTGAGAGCACACGAATAGGATGGACTAAGAAAATCCCCCCCCCCCCCCCCCCGATTTACTAGAAGCACTAACCTCTAACATGGACACAAGTTCCTGTTTTGAGATACCAATGCGGTCTCGATCTGCTGAGTCGACCACGTATATCACTGCATCAGTATTTGAGTAGTAGCACCTCCAATAGGGTCTAAAAAGAAAAAGGAGAGATGAGTTGATTCCCAGTTACATAAAGCATATCATTCAAGTCAAGAATTTAAACATGATCAAACACAAGTACTGGTAGTCAATATTTTTCATGTCAGCAAATCCCTATATATTATTAGGACATAAACTGGAAAGGGATTTCATCGCTCCATGAAGCTAAATGAGTTTTGATGGCGTAGCTAAAGCCATCCCAAGTTTTCCAACTCATGACCTCATAAATTTCCCAACATGTGCTCAAGATTTTTCAAACGTCAAAACCACAGCTTCATTATGAGTGAATCCACTAAAAACACCTGAGATAATACAGGGTGACATGGAAACATTGAAGCAATGTAAATGCTTTGTTATTTTTGTATTTATGCTCCAAAAACAGTATAGTTTACAAATATTATTACAGTAAAAGCCTTACAATTTAAGTGCAACCTGTTGGAGCTTAGATTTGGAAGAAAGTGTCCTTCAAATGGTCTCCACTAGATGCAACACTGGAAAGTTTTGCAAGGTTCAATGGTCACACCTTCTCTCGTTTGGTGACATTTCATGGCCTGCAAAATCTCCAGATCTAACTGCACCAGATTACTTTCTATGGGACAGTTTGAAGGAAAAGGTGTACCAAAATAAGCCTCACATGTTACAGGAACTTGAAGAAAACAGTGCAGAAGTAGCAAGAATAACCCCAACATTGTATGAAGCAACTGCCTAGAACTTTGAAAAACACTTTTCTGTGAAGCATATCATGACCATTTGAAGGGCACTATATTCGAAACCTAAGCTCTAACATGTTGCATTTGAATTGCAAGATCTTGAATAGTATTTGTGCAAAACCACACTGTTTTTGGAGCACAAAAAAAAGACAAAACATTAACATTGCTTCAATGTTTCTATGTCACCCCATACATGCAAACAATTTTCAATATTTCATTTTATAACATTATGAGTTTTGAATTCAAGAGCAAATTGCCATTGGACAAAGAGAGTGACTGATATCTAGAAAACACCACAAGCTGTCAAGATACACCAGGTGGCCCTAAAAAGTATCCTGCTTGAGGCTTATAAAACCAGCTGTGGATGGCCTACGCTCATGATGTTTTGGTTTCACATTGCACATCAAGTGCAAAAAATCAATCAAGCTGTCCTGAAACTCCATCCACCTCATGCATGGAAAGGTACATTTTATTACTCCACTTTAAACGACTGACAAATTTTATTCACACAACATAGGTACATGAACCTTTCAGATAACTAATTTTGTAGTGTTTCTGATGTTATGCAAAAACATCATGAACCTAGATCATCCACAATGAGTTTTATAATGCATCAAACAGGATGAGTTTTTTTTAAAGCTACCTGGTATTTGACATGTTGCAATATTTACCCAATCCCAGAAGGATACTCAGTTGACTCCAAAATGTAGCTTAATTTCAGAGAATGGCAAAGACAAAGGGAAATGGCAAAGGGTAAGTGAGCAGGGATTGTATTTCAGAATTGGGGGAAAGATACCAAAAAGATACTGCTCCACAGGTGGTCATGCCCCAGAATATATGAGGTTTCCCAATGATGTGCAATAATGCAATTTGAACACTCTCCTAATGTTGAAGACTTCAAGCATATGCCTTATAAAAAGTCAATGCAAGGTAAGTTGAAGTCACAATTCAATGCAAAGCATAAGTACACCTACTGCATCTGGAACTAATAAGTGAAATTCATACTTTGATGATCAGCTCAACAAGAATGGTATCAGGAAGTGTTCATTCACCACAGAGCTTACAATTCAAAGGACTCATACCTGGGATTCAATCAACAATCATAAAAGGGACTGATTGCTATGAAATATCAGGAAAAAAAGAGGCAATCCAGCCATGACAAACCTGATGCTGGTCTGTCCACCTAGATCCCAGACTTGGAACTTCAAATTTTTGTAGGTCACTTGTTCAACATTGAATCCGATAGTAGGAATGGTAGTGACAACCTCTCCAACTTGCATCCTATGGGTGAAACCAAGAGCACTGTATTATACATCATTGCAGAAACACTCAACACTTAGGCTAGCTTCCAGAAACTCCAGGAAATCTATCCAGAAAGTTGAGAATGGTATACATTTATTAAGATGCCAGAGATATTTGAAAACAAAATGTTTTATGAGTGAAACTATGCAGGCAGCTCATCACAGAAAGGGATGGCTTCTCTGAACAGTTGCATGGAATCAGAAAATATTCACTGATTTGAAACATCCATGCCCACATCATTTGCATTTTGCAAATTTTCAGAAATGTTGGTGCTTTGCAATTTTTTTCTGGGGATTGCTGCCCAAACATGACAAAGAAATATAAGATCCTCCTTCTTGTACCATCAGACAATTTTGCAAGAACTCATATTAACTCAAGGCTCAGCAGAAAAGCAATATGGTTCATGAGTTTTCAGGATAAACAATATGAAGGCTATGCTGCATCAAGACTCTTAACTCATTTGCATCCAGTGACTTTTCTCCTTCAAGTCAAGGCTAGTCAAACATATTTGGTATCAAATTCTTCAGAAAACTTGTAAAAGTACACAATGATAATGTTTAATAGTCCCATCTAGAAATATTTCAAGGTGTGATGCGAGTCATGTAAGGTAAATTGTTTCATGATCACTGTGAACTTGCTGATGCATTTTTGAAAGGGAGCTCCATTTTCATGCCTCACTGGGTATGTTTATATCAATAACATCTGATTTCCTGTAGTATTTATTAGAAGCTTCTCACTACACAATATAATAGCTCTTGCTCAAGCAAGAACAAGCTCAAGCTTGTTCCTTTCTCACCTAAAATCTCAGGTGAAACTTGCCTGTATAATATTGTAGTCTTCCCAGCTCCATCAAGTCCAAGGATGAGAATTCTCATTTCTCTGCTACCAAACAGACTCTTGAAATAGCTGAGCAAGCCTCCTGAAGGATGAAAAATAAAACAAGAGTATAATGTATGCAGTAATTGATGTAGCCCTGAAGGATTCCTTTACATGCATGAAAGGCAAAGAAAAACAAAAAGTTCATAGACCTTTTTACATAGATCATGCTTGATTGACCCCCTGGTATATAACCTGTAACGTATTTTGAATTCCATGTAAAAATATGCAATTTGGGACATTTCAATTGTTTCTGTCTGTCTTCTACCTTAAAGTCTCTCTGATCACCTCCACTATTCTTTTAGGGACTCTTCAGGCTTGATGAAGGACATCATTATCATGCAGTAAAATATATTGGAACTCTTTCAATGAAGGAGCAAAGTTGTTGATTACTGTGGCAGAAAAAGGTCTAGGAGTCCCTCTATAGACCTATTTGGATTGGTCTTCAACCCCAGATCATTAAGCAAGATGATGGTTCATGCTTTTGCATGCAAAGGTGGTTATAGGGTTTTAATGATTACCTATATAAAACTCATTGACAGTCACTAGATGACACCATGTGTATAGGGTGATACGTAGAATGCTAGGGTATATTTGGAGGAAGACTGCACAAGTTGAAAAGTCCCAAGGGTGGAAGGTGGTTGGAAACCTTGGAATCTAAGACACTTTAACCCTTCAATGTGGAGTGCCATGCAACATACATCATGGCATAAACATCTCCTGCAGAGTGACGTGTAGGGCACGCATACTGCACTCTCTGTTTCTCAAGCTAAATTTAAAATCCTGACAGAAAATCCTCCTGCAGTAGGGTATGGATGAAATTTTAAATCCCTCTGCACAGAAGGTAAATGGTTTTATTGCTGATCATGCAGTGAACATTCAAATGAGGTTTATTCCTGCACATGCAAGGATAGACCTCCATACCCCAATGCATCTGCATTATCATCAGGTGGCACAAGGTTATCTCAACTCACGTTATCTGCTTTGACAAAATGCTACATCAGACATAGAATATTTTGTATTACTTCATTCTATTTCATGGAAGTAAGTGCATTTAATACATTTTCCATTAAATGCATTACTTCAGCCTACAGGCCAAGTAGCCTTCCTTTGCTGCTACCATTAACTATGCCTAAGAATGGAATGGCCTATTTGAACTCACCCATTTTTTCCTTACTCCTGTCACAAATTGAAGAGCTGATTTGAACTTCTAGAGGAAATTCTGACCAGGCCCAGGCCTAGCCTATAGATGATAATAAAAGTTTTGATTGATCCTGGCTCCCACTCTCATACAAGGGCTAGTTTCTGAATGATGAATGAATTATCCTCAAAGATAAGTCATCACATCCAGCTCCTTATTAACAAATTGATCGATTTGAGCTCCAACATAGACAAATTTCTAGAAAGAAAAAAAGGACAATTTCAGCAAAGTGCAAAAGTGAAATGTTTGGCTTCCCAGCCAAATATCTTGACAAGGGAAACATCCTAGATATTGCTGGAAACTGCCATATTCAGTCAAGTAGAAAATGCTTCTCTTATTGTATATAATTGGACTGCATGCACCAGATCTATTCAACTTTGAACTGATCTGGTTTCATAATGGGTGTCTATGGGAATAAGATTATCTGTCATACTGTTTTCCACAGCAGACCATTGCGAGATCAATTAGTTTAACCCTGTAAATACCATTCTGTGTCCAATGGATCCTGAAACAAAAATTTAGCCATTTGTGTAGGCAGCACTATAAACATGAAAAGTCTGATACTCTGCATTTTCATGAAGACATGTGATAATAAAAGGCAAAGTGTTTTGAAGAGATTCTTAGGGATTGAAGAGATTAAACAAGGAGTTAAACATATGATCCTCTGCATTCTAGTAGTTACAAGGTTAAGTTGAACATAACCAGAGCATGTCACATTGTTTCAAGCTGAGAGTGGCTTCTGTGATAGCAACTTCTACAGGTAAGCATAAATGCCAGACCTAACCCATCTGTCTCATTTTAAACTTCCATACAAGGCAGATATACAGACAATGGATAATAGAGAAGTTCAAATCTCTATTGTAGGTCCCCCTTCTCTCTTGACCTCGGGATTTGGTAAAATGAAATGTCAGCATGTGAAAGGCTTAACTGTGAAGGATAACTGATGACATGGTTGCTATGGGTTTCTAACACAAATTTCATTATTACATTATAACATTACGCCTTCACATTTGGGTTAGGGGATCCCCTACTCCTCATACCCTTAGTAATCATGTTATAGAGTCTCACCAAAAAAGATGGAGGAAAATATATAAAAAATACTTCAGAAAGTAGGCCCTCAGGGATCTGGTATGTGGCACCTCAAGGCAACAAAAAGCAAGAATACTCAAGGAAAAGGAAGAGAAAGAATAGAAGAAAGGAGGTTGGGAGCCAAATAAGAAGTGGATGAGAGGATTGCTCATATTGGGGAGCAGGTACCAAGTTGGAATTCAAGATTGTTCTCCTACAGTTGATAATAATCTTGAGATAGGTACAAAGGTGGAGGCTTTGGACTCTTATAATACCACTGAAATTATTTATAAGAATGCTGTAAGATTGAACTGGCTCAGCTGATTTAGCATGAATTCCACAAAGATATTCCACAAAATAATACCCATATGTAATCTAGTTTCACCGTTGTAAAATTTGGAAGGGCAGACCATGCAAGAGATGAGGTAGATGACACCATGCAGCAGGTAAAATGCTATGATCTAGAGATTTCCTTTGGGGCCATTGATGATGAAGAAATTGGAGGAACTAATGAAACAGCACAGACAACCCAAGGAAATGGTCCAAGGTAGACTTTGGGCCAAAGCTTCGGATGTAAATAAACTTCCTACTATTTCTGTCACATTGGGAAGCAAGATGGGGGGAGAAGATGGAGGTGGAAAAGGAGGGGCAGTCAGGTCCAGCTAGGAGAATAGGGAAAGTTACTCTTTGATTATGTTTGTGACATTGTGGATGAAAGGTATTCACAAAAGAGATGCAGGACAATTTAGAATATTGACTAGAGGAGGTAGACATAGTTCTCTTGAGGTGCCACATGCCATGTCCCTTGAAGGCTTACTTGATCAAAATACACTTATTTTCCTTTATCTTTTTGCAAGAGATCCTTTGCTAAATCAATTTTACATACAATGCAGGTTAAAGCACTGCCTGGGATGAAGAATGCCATCCCATCCCATCCTGTAAAATATCGTTATGTACAGTACTGGGTAAATACAGGAAAGGACTCCATGAATTGTTCATGTCCTTGAACAATGCATTACAGAAGGTTGAGTCCTCATGACAATGCACAGTATAAAACTAAGATCTAATGATCCCCATAAAATTTGAAAGGAACACACATTTCCTATTGTTTAGAGAGCTCAAATATGATTTTGAATTAGCATTTATCACTCTCAGATTGCTAGTGTGTTTGAGGTTTTGATAATTAACTACTGACTCTCATTTTAAAGCATACAGTAAGTATATTCCAATGTTCAGCATAGGAAGAGATCAATAGTGACAAGGGTAAGAAGAAGGGTATAGAACCAATGTTAAATTATGTTTCCTACATGATTACTGGATGTCAGATAATGGACTAAGAATACCTGTACAAGGGTCAGTGTGGGGGAGGGATGGACAACACACAATGCATAGTCTCAACTCTTGATGATAAATCCCTCAAAGATCCACTGAAAGTCCAACATCTTCCCACTCTTCTCCAATACAACTTCCTATCCAATTCAGACTCTAATGCACTGACTCTCTGACTAACACCCCCTCCCCCCCCTCTCATGTGGCACTTAGCTATTTTGGGCATGTACATTATCATTTATAGTGATTCAATCATTTTTCTAAGAAGTACCTCCAAGTGCTTGTGAATGCTGAAGCTTATAAATGAATTTAAGCTGTAAATCCTGAATGTACATGTCAGTGGCATTCTTTGGGGGGGTCCATGTACTTTCTGGCACTGAATTCAAGATGCAATAGAAAGTTTGAATAGGCTTTCCTAGTTTCAAGAAGGCATTGATATAGCTCCAAGTCTGATCCTATCTTAGCATGGGATACTGGAGTTTAACACAGGAATTGAACATAGCTCATTGCTAAAGTACGAAGGAATTTGAAGGGGCTGCTAGGGTGGGTGTTGGGGCTGCTCTTGAATAGTGACATTTCAAGCATTGAGATTCATTTGTATTGAGTTTTCAATAGGTAAGACCAGCAACATATGCAGGATTTGGGGGGGTGGGGGGGGCCTCCCTACTGGGTATTCATTTTTTAATACTATAAATATACACATTACTCTTTTTCTTATTTCATTGTCCTGCACAGCCCCAAACCCATGACTGATGTCCTGTTGTAGGACATCCTGTAGCTCTAGTGTGAATCTCTGAGCACTTTCATCCCCCCTCCCCCCTCTTTCATCCAAACTCTTAATAATGTTAGGGGCCATTGCTAAGGTGTGAGAGTCGTAATCCACCAAGGCAATACAAGAAGCACTGGCTTATCCTCAGAAGAAAACACTTCATTACATGATAAATTTTTTCCGAAGGAGGAAATGAGTATGAATGGGGAATCGTACCACTGGATGCAAAGCAGGAAGACACTAACTACTTCTAACCTCGAGCATCTAACGTTACAAAGGCTGGAAACCATGGGCCACCATGACTGGATGTCAAGAAAAACTTATTTCATAATTTGGAAATAAGCTCTCAATAAATTTTCGGGGCTTCGGGAAGGCCGGCAGAAGACGCCAGTTCCAAGAGGAAAATCAGAGTAGAATCAGTAGCACACGCCTGCCAAACCAAAGATTATACGCCAAATAGGGGAAAGAAGCTTGCGGTCCTACAATTTGATGTCACAGCATAACCTAGGTTAATAATGAGGCTGTCTTCTATCGTAAGTCTCCAATGGTTGGAGAAAGTACAATAACTTCCTGAAAATTGCACATGCCGGCCGCAGGGTTGACTTCCAGCTGTTCCAATTGCAAGTCGCCATATTGGCATTCTTGAGGACACGCGAGTGGAGCACAACGTCGTCTGCTATCGGAAAAAAACAAGACACGTGGCATGGTGACTCATGAAAAAGGGGTGAAACAGTGGACAGTTACCAGGCCAACTGCGATGCCATGCGCACTGAGGGTGGAAAATGAACCTAAGTTTCTTGCTCGGCATTGCGTATTCGGGCAAAGCAGCTCGTTTTCTACACGGGTTGATGAGTTGGCTGAGTTCACCCCTGTGCACCCGGTTGCATCCGCAAAATTCACACCAGGCATCGTATTGGCGGCACAAAATCACAGTGATAGTCGATGAATGCAATGCCATAAAGACGAAAGATCGATACCCAAGGAAGGGAGTCATCGTTTTCGATTATTGAACTGTCTGGAGAGTGAGAAAAAGCGATGCTTCTTCCACGTAGACATCTACGATTCAGGACGCGGAAATGACGGTTCTAGGAGACCGCGCATAAAAATTTTTTTTCTCCGTTCTTCGCTGCATATTTGTGGAACAGGAAGTGCGTGATGCTTGATTATTGGAGCAGGGAAGGTTCTTGTATTGTACCCCCCCCCCCCCCCCCCCCGCCCTTGTCCCAGGGCCTTCCCGGAAAGAGAAACTTTCCGCTGCTAGGCTGGCACTGCCTTCTCCATGGAATGATGCTGCGCTTTTTCAGCATGTCTTATCAATCCAGTTTTTGCCTTGTTGAGCTTCTTTTTTTCCGATATTTTGTGACCGATCTTCAATTTCTGGATAAGTGAATATTCATATTGTTTGTAACACACATTCAAGTGAGGCTAACAGATACGTCAGAACCAAGAATATACAAAGTGATCCCGACGCAGAAAGCAGGCAAAACATATGAGAAAGTAAAATAAATAAAGTAGTACGTGGAATACGTTGAAATTATATGCCTTGTGCCTTCAATATAATGAATGAGTCGCAATTACATGAGCGAAGAATAGAAAGATTACAAGAGATACAAAGATAACTGAGTAAAGAGCCTGAAATTATTTCTAAAAATTAACTATATAATCGAATTAGTTCGGGAATATACAAATCTGCAGTGCATTACTCACACCACCGAAGAAATAACCTCCCCAGCACACTACGGTGTTCACACGCGAATGAGCTCAATGGCTTTTTTTTATATTTCATATTCCAGGGGTGTCAAACTCAAAATCGGTCGGCGGGCCGTATTCCTTACCCTACAGATGCCTGCGGGCCGCACCCCTGTTGAAGAACAGGCGGCGGGCCGGATGAACCACCTCCGCAGGCCGGATCCTGCCCGTTGGCCGTATGTTTATTTGACACCCCTGACATATGCAAAGTTCTGGAGTATATAATTTACATGACAATAGAATTTATTTTATTTAGGGCTGTACCGATGTATCGGCTAACATCGGTATCGGCCGCGGGTG